GCGGGAGCTCCCGCCCCGCCCCGGGCTCACCACGGTGGTCCCACCTCCGCGCGGAAATCCCCTAGCGGCCCAGTGAGGCCTAGCGAGGTGGCCCGGCGGCTGTAGCCGCTGCTCCCGTCTTCGGGTCGGGTTGGCTGGAACCAGAGCCTCCCGAGGGCGAGGGCGCGGGTGCATTCACACGTGCCAGGAAAAGTAACTCCACTTTCACACAAGGCAACACGAGCAAGCAGAGGTGTTCCCGATTTAGCAGCCCTGATTTTATGATCACAAGTAGGCCGAAACGGGTGACAGCACGCGAGCTCAGCGGCGGGAGCGGCGGGAGGCAGTAGCCAATGGTGCCTGCGAGGGTGGCTCCGAGGTTCCCGCCTTGGATACCTCCGAGGGTGCCCGCGCAGTGGCCGGGCCGCGTGGCTTCATGGCTGTCTTTGTAGGTGCCTTTGGGGTTCCCTTTTGGGGTACCCTCGTGGGTGCCTTCACGGGTGCTGGGGCGGTTTCCTGAGCCGGGATGGGAGTGACTTCGGTTTCGCTTTCGATTCCCAGGGCTTTTTTAATATTATTCCTCATCCTCTTGGTGACCACCGTCCCATCGACGAGACACACGATTGCCGCTGTGAGACACAGGGACTGTCAGACACAAGACCATATGCGGGAAGGAAAAGTAGGGTTATTTTGCAGCTCCTCAGCAACTGTCTTCCCTATACACAACCTGGACTGGGACTCCTGTCCCGCTCAGACTCTCCACTATTTTCTTAGTGTCTGCAGAGTTGGCTGCTGTGGCCCATTCTGCCATTCCCAGATAAAGAGATTTTGGAAATGGCCTTTTCTGCGGGTGACGACCTCGCCTGATACCTAAGGCACCAGGGCCAGAGAAGGGCACTGGTCCTTGGAAGCTCCAGGTGGGGGAAGGGCCCTGAGAAGGCTCCTCAGTGGAAAGGACTGTTGAGCTATGTTTGAAAGTAGTTTCCAAGGGGACCAACTGGGAGGAGAACTCCAGGTACTGGACTGGGATCTCCAAGGAATCTAGTATGGCTGAATCCTCTGGAGCTGGTGAGGGAGAGGGCAGAGTTGAGGCTGAGGAGGTGCAGGATCTGAGACTTCATCAAGAGAAGAGGTGAGATTCCAGACTCAGAAAGCCCACTTGCCATGAGATGAAAGAAAGAGAACCAGGCTGGAGACCAATGGAGGGGAGGGGAGTGCTCCTGCCATCCAGGCAAAAATTGATGGGAGACCAGAGGGTAAGAGCTCCTGGCAGGTGGAAGAAAGCTTGGTAACTGAGTTAGCAGATGGGGGCCAGGGGCCTACAAAACCTGAGATTCCAGGTGCTCCCTGCTCCTGCCTGCCTTGTATGTTTCTCTTTAAGATCCCTTAATCCTTGGCTGCCTTCATGAATTTTTTCTTAGGTACGTCTTGCTCTAGCTAATTTGTGAGTTCAAGCTTGGCACAGTACAATGGGATTGACAAATATTTACTGATTATGGAATGAATTCAAAGAACTTAGACTTTGTTTTTCGGGATTAATTTTTGTTCTTATTGCTTAATTTCTTGGATTCAAGTCTCACCACCCAACTCCCCACCCCCTATCTTCCAAGCATTTAATCTGCCATTTCTTGTGCTCTTCTTATGAAGAGGATTTGTCCCAGCCTTGTGACCCAGGGTAAAGTTTTTAACCTGTTTCCATATCTGAAAAAATGAATTGTAAAGATTAAGTCAGAGCATGCCTAGCCTGGTGTGGGAACTTCCTTCCTTCCTGAATAGCCTGAGTCACTCTCTCTTGACAATGTACTTTTTTTCTCCTACAGTCATTCTTTTCATGTGATTTAAAATATAATTCTCTGATCCAGAAAAATCAAAGTCCTATTTATAGATAAGAATATCTTGTTGCAATACTTAAAAAAATAGTGTGTATGATTTTGAAAAGGGGGTCTACAGACTTGTTTTTGTACCTACACGGAGCATGAGTATTAGAATAAAGATTTTCATGAGCTTAGAGTTTGTGCAACTTCAACTCTTCTGAAGTCAGTGCAAGAAAGAGAAGAGAAAGTGGTGGGGATGTTCTGTAAATGAAATAATGATGGTCTGCCAATTTCCCTTTTCAAAGAGTCTTTAAATACTGATCTTAAATGGAGTCATGAAGGCCTCTACTTACCCCTCCAATGTAGAATAAGTGCCTTCTTTCCTTTTCTTGTATCGCCAAGGCAGCCAATATTAAAAGGAACACAGCAGTAATGAAACTGTTGATTAGATCCTGCAATACAGAATTGAAAATTGTCAACTTTACATGCAAATGTAATTTCATAAAATATTTAAATTGGTCAATTACCCAAGGATGATGCCTTTTTAAAACTTTCCCTTTGATTAATAGTAAGAAGAACCTTCCACAGCATAATTCTTACATCTCTGGAGATGTGAGTTTCTGTGATTTTAAGGTCCTGGATAGGACTGTCAGCAGAAATGGGTTTAACGTCATTAAAGAATACTCTTTAAAAAAAAAGAGCTGACAACTTTTTCATCAGACTTTTTAAAGGGCATAGGAAAATGAGCGCGAAAAAGACCTAGAAGTCTGGGGGCCTCACCCAAACTGGCCCACCATAAATATGATTTTTTGGCAAGTTTTGTATTTTAAATTAATGTAAATTCTGCGTTCTAGTCCATAATACATTTATTTTAATATAAACATACAAATTTAGATGAACACTTTGCCAATTCAGTTCCACTCCCAAATCTGCAAATCGGTAGAACTGATACTCTGAAAGTTGGGTCATATTTATTCTGTAGGGTCACACATCCCAAGAAGGCAGGGACCCATCTGAGGAGCAGGCCTGGTATTCTGGTGTGAAATTGACTTTTGCTCTTTCCTAAAACATGGCCAGAATTCAGTTTGCCCTGACATCTACAGGATATTTGTGTCCTTCCTGGACATCAGTACTGGGTTCTTTAACTGCTGGCCCAGTCATTTCTTTGTGTACTAAATAAAGGGTGAGGACAAGTGGCTGGGGCACACCCTGCAAATAAGCAGAGGCTGGGCTTTAGTAGCAGAGTGATAATGGAAGAGAAGGTACTGAATGAGTCAGTGGCCCCAGCGTGTGGGGAGGAGCAAAAGCCCAGGTCATGTGACCTCCGTATGGCCCAGATAGCTCATTTGAACATTTTAAGTCTTTAATTCTTAGTGGCTTGATTTGGTAGTGTCAGCACTTGGTAGTGTTAGCCTGTCTGGTGCCCCTGCCCAAACGCGGAGAGGAGCCCTGTAGTCTAATCGTAATGGCTCCAATGGAGCACTTCAGCGTGCCCAGTGTTTCCCAGTCACTATCTCATTTAAACCTCACAAACACCCTCCAAAGTCAGTATTGTTAGGATCCCCCTTTTAAGAGGATGTAACCGAGGCTTAGAGAAGTTTATGAAATTGCCCAAGATTGAATATCTGCTAAGGAATGGTCAGAACTCAACTCACTATCACCTCCCATCAGAGAAACCCAGATAAGAAGGAGATGAATTATCTACCTAGGCTGAATGTGTATATTTTATTGATCAACTCTTCTGGCCTGCCAATTCCTGCCAATGTGTGACTTGGGGCGTATTTTATCACCCACCCTGTGCCAACAGGCTAATTTTCAATATGGGGGTATTGACTGGGATTCATTGGGTTCATCTGAGGATGAAATGGCATGTTGAATCTGAAAGTGTCAGATGAGGTGCTTGGCATCCAGTGGGTGTGGGAATGCATCAAGGTGTAGATGCACAGACGGTGTCTGCCTTCAAAAGGTCCACACATAGTAAACTTTCTGTGAACTCCAGGTGTTCTTTCTGTTGAGATTGGCGAGCAAGGAGCCCTTTCGTGGAATGGGACCTTGCTTCTTAAAAAGGCACTAACGTCTGTTACTTGGGCATCTGGTGGTTAACACTGGAGGGGGAACACGGAACAGGGCTGATGAGGTTTGAAAATCAGTTCCAGTTGGGTTCTGTAGGCTGAGCAAAAGATCTGCCCACAGTGGGGCAGGTACAGCAGTTTGCAGCTTTGCAGGAAGCATAGCATCTGGGGATTGTGTAAACCAAGATATTCAAAGATGTGAACAAGGATTCTTATGACTAAGAAGCAGAATGTAAACTTTTTAAAATGAAAATTAACTAGCTGTAGTCATAGATCACTGAGAATTTGGATGAAAGCACATTAATAATGATCCTAGTCATAAATGCAGTTTCGGCCCCCTCTAGCCAATCGTTGACTCCCCGTCAGAATTCCATCCCCACATTGGACTGTTGGACATTATAGTTAGGTCTTGTTCTTACTTGCAAGAAAGTGCTCTCTTGAGCTGTCCCTGGGAGGTAATGTATGCCTTGTACCTAACATTTCTATTGTAGCTCACATTTCTTGAGCACTTACTATGTGTCACATACTGTGCCAAGGTGTTTATATGTGGTCTCATTTGATTCTCACAACGAACTCTCATTATCCCCAGTTTACAGATGGGCAAGCAACTGGCTATGACCCTCTGCAGTCTGACTGAGAGCCCAAGGGCCTTCTCCTGACTAACCCCCCTCCCTTTTGCCTTAGACACAGACCCTCTTGTTGGCCTCATCTTTGACAGAGAGAGAGAGATGTTCTCCTTGATGGGGTAAAACTGCAGCTGAGCCTTGCCGCATGCAAAAGGTCCTCTGGTTCCCCTGTAGATGCCATCCTTACTCATCATCTTTTTCTTTCTCCCTTTGACTAAATACACTATTGACTCAAGTAGCCTCTTCTGACAAAAGGAGAGACGGGCTTGTGACTTGACTATTATTTTTCCATAAAGCTCTCAGATAAACAAAATTGTGTAGAATTAAAATTGGGAAAAGAAAAAGATGCTTTGATGGTGAATGTTTATTTTTGAAAAGTCATGGAATATTAGGGGGAAGTTAAACATTTACAATTTGGTTTACAAAAATGTGGTGTTTGTAACAAGAATGTATATACAGTAAATACTGTATAGTTTTCAGCTACTGGCAACCTTCATTGGTTCCATTTGTGCCTTAGAGTTCTCTAGGCACGTGGCAGAACCTGATCAGTCATTGCCAGAATTGTTGTTTCTCATTAACTTTATGTGAAGGGGACAGTCTAAAGCTGATACCTTTTACATTGCCAGTAGTTTGGAATCATCCCTTCAATAGAGTTTTAGTTAAATGTATGTTTATTATGTTCTTTTTTCTAAATTGCTTTCTATTGGCAAAAGCATCAGCTTAGCCAGAAGTTAGTTTCTCTGACCTTATTGGATAATATTTTTTTATAAAGTAGAAGTGTTAAAAAATATGGATTCTTCAGAAGACAATAACTAATTCATAGTTTTCTTGGGTACACTGCAGGTGGCACTAGACAAGGGAAGGTAAAACTGATAAATCTTCGAATGAAAACAGTGACCCGACTGCAGGTGGGGAGAGGAAAGCTGTACTCCCACTAGCTCTGATGCAGAGCCATGCTAACAAGTCAGGGGCTGGCTGGGAGTTGGACTCACACCCTTCCTGGGGGTGTCTGGCACGGCCTTCGCAGAAACGAGAAGATGCTGTTGAGACTTGGGTGGGTCCCCAAGCCCAGGCTCCATCATCTCGCCAGAGAAGGAGGCCCTGCCAAAATATGGTCCCAGAATCCACATGTCTCGGCCAGTCATCTGTATGTGAGGCTAGTGCTCTTTGGTGTTACCTTGCTGAGGGTCCGAAGCCCTGAATTATCAGCCTTCTCTAGCTTCCTGCTGGGGACTTTCCCCCTTAGCCCTTTGCCAAACAAGAATGGAAATAGGGGAATAAGGAACTCTAGCCTCATGGAAGCCTTTAAGGAAATCGCCACTGCAAATTGGTACTCCTTACCCTAATCCTGTACCTCCTGGGCACCAAACCACTGTTCCCGGAGAGAAGGGCTGAAAGAAAGTTGCAGTCATGCACGCTGGACACCTCTAGTGTTGGGCAGGCCTTTGAGCCTGTGCGCAGCCCTGAAACAGTCACAGTAGGAAATGGGCCAGGTGTTCTCCGGCTTCCCAGTGACTCCTCCTGCAGCTTGATGCCAACACGTCTCCAAGTCCCCTTTCCCTCTGAAGTGTGGAGTAGTCACCTCCTAGGCACCAATACTGTCACTAAACCAGCATGGTTCCTACCCTGACAAGGCCTCCCTGTTACTACCCAACGGTAGCTGTTAACCCTCAGAGCAATCTTACATGTACATGTCCTTCATCTTACGGGATCTGTAAGGGCAGATTAGAGAGGAAAGGACTGGACAGGAGGTGAGAACAGTTTTGGATTCTGTTTTAATCAGCCTTTTGAAAAACCTTCCAAGTCAATCAGATCACTCAGCATCTGAGTGACTATGTTGGTTAGTATGTGTCTGCCTGGTATGTGTACTGCTAGTTAGTGGAGCATCAGAATAACCTGGCAACCTTCTTGGAAAGATGGTTTCCCAACTGTGAAGCTCCTGGGACCTCACCAGGCATATCCATGTGCTGTTCCAGACCCTGGCCCACACCCTGGAGGACAGTGGCAAGAAAAAGGCGGGGGCCCTCTTTTCTTTTCCAAAGAAAAGAGAGTGCTCTCACCCAAGCACAGAGGTAGCAAAAGGGGGCTTGGCTTTCCCAGAGCTGAGTAAGGGCCGTAGCTCTGCGCAAGCTGGCCTGAGCTGCCCCAGACCAGGGGATGGCTCCTCCTCCGGGACCTTCCTGCTCACACTTAGGAGACCCTGGCTCCTGCCTCTCCCTGAGACTCTCCCTGGACACTCCCACGAGCCCCTCCAGCAAAGCACATGCCCTGAGGCTCTCTCTGGCTCTCCAGGCTATGAGTGGACCTTTGCTTGGAGGGCTGCTGTCCCCCATACCCAGCTATTGACCTTGGTGCTGTGGCACCTGGGACACTGACCCCCAAGGGCTTGTACCTCCCCCACCACCTTTGGCTCCACATGTTAAGGAAACCATGAGAAAACAGGGGCGAATACACAGAAGATAAAATTTAGAGAATCTGAGGAGGACAGAGATGTAGGGAGGATGGAGTTAGAGAAACCATCACTAGGCAATAGGGCATAAAGTATGGAGAGAGTCTGGGCTTCAGAGTCAGACAGACCTGGGCTCCAGTCTGAGTTTCTGTGTGCCTCCTTCAGACCACGGGCAACTAAGTCTCTTTAATCCAATTTTCTCGTCTGTTCAACAGGGAGTAGGGGATGACTACAACCGCACTGGGTTGTTGTGAGGATTAAATAAGGTGATAGGTATGAAGAAGTATCTGGTACATGGTATGTGCTCAAAAACGGTTACTTTACCTTCCCTTCTTGAAAATTTCCATGGACAGAGATTTTTAGGTTCCCCTCAGAAACCTCTCCATGGTTATAGCTCTGCTTAACTAAGAGGGTCTTCCACGTGTCCGATAAAATGGTTCATGGTGGGCTTGGTCTGCCTCCTGGTGCTCGGCACTCTATGGGACAGAGAGAGCTCAGCTGCCTTTTCAGAAAATCTCTCAGACGCTTGAAGAAAAGGTTTTGAGTTTTACTTCAACAGCAACCAATCCTACCTGACAGAAAAAAGTATGATAAGGAAGCGGGATGTGGAAGAGGCATGATCTCAGAGTTAGGATTCCTCATGGTGCTGGGTAAAATGGTAAAAGCCACCCCACTGCCTCACGCTGGGTCTGGTGGACACTTTGTAGTGAATGTGCTTCACTTTGTGCCAAGCGTTTTGTTCTGTTTGCTCTAAACACATTTGCAGGAACCCTGTAGTCAGTTCTTATCATCACACTTTTCCTTTGCTGAATTTCCTAGGTAGGGAAACTGAGGTGACAGTTCTCATAGCTGTAAGGTGGCAAGAACAGGAACTGGGCCCGTGTCTGTATCTGGACAAAATTATAGATCCTCTCCATCCTTTGAGGATGCAGAGCATCAGACTCCACAATGAATAGGATTTGTCTCAGACTTGAGGGATTAGCTCTGGAATTTTTTGCAGTTGGTATGAAATCCCAGAAGGAATATGAAATCCCAGAAAAAGCTACTGAAGAAGGCTATGCTATGTCTTGTCCTGAATACACCACCATATGGTATCCCTTTGGAAAGATGGACTGTTAACACACATGAAAAGGTTGACTCTTGCACTCTTTCAGGGCACACGTGACAATTTTCTACAACTCTACCATGTTGTAGAAACATGCTTTTCAGAGGGATGTTTGTAATCTGTTAGGGTGCTGTTTAAAAAGTAGAAGCATGTGCTTTTTTACAAACAATGGGTGAGAAGTGTGTTTACGTACTGTATCTACTAATTACAATTTTCTTTAGGACCAGCTGCGAAGTGCCACGTTTTCAGTGCTGTAATGAGACGGAAGCAGGTGTGTGTGTTTTGGTTGTCCTATAGACAGAGGAGTTCAAGGAATCTTTCTGGGTACTAGGCTAGCTTCTTCCCTGGGACTAGGGTGACACTCTGTCACAGCTCAGAGAGATCACTCTGTTGCATTCATTTGGGGAGAGACTCTAGTGGGGCTGAGGGTAAAGCTTATATGCAAATTATGAAAAGGAACACTTACAAGTAAGGGCCAGTGTAAAAAAGTCATCAAGTGGTGAAGGGTTAGCATATATATTAGAATGAAACAAACAACGATGCAGGTTTCCAGAACTGTGATTGCTATGAAGTACTCCTGGGCTTCGGCAATGATGAAACAAACTAGTGCACCAATGAGAAGAGCCTGCAGTAAAAGGAACAAGATTTATTTTAATGCACATGGGCTATTAAAAAACAAAACAAAATCATAAATGCTCAGAATGCAAATCTGATTGTATTGCAATTAGCTTGTATTGTTTCGCATACATTTTATTTTTAAAAATTCTTTATATTTTAAAGAAATGAAATAACACATGCAAAAAAAAAATGCACCCAGTACCTAAGTTTCTTTCTCCTCCCTCAACCCAACCCTAGTCTATCTCCTTAAAAGTAACCACTGTTAACGGTGCATATTTCATACCAGAAAGAATTGTGTATATATAGATCAAGTAGAGTAAATACATGTTGATTTTGATAGAAAGAGTGAGGTGGAGTCCCAGCTTTCTTTCTTTCCAAACAGCTGCTGATTATCCCAACATCATTTTTTGGGAAACACTGCTAGTATGAAATCCACCCTTTATCACATACTAAATTCTCAGGTGTATTCAGGGCTCTTTTGAAACACTTCTTCCACTGAGTTGCTGATTTCTTCCCCAGTACTTTTGAAATTAACAGACAATTCATTTTATGTTGTATTATTGTCTGCCTATTCCCCACTTTTGGGACTCATTTTCATATTGTTTATCTTTCTCATTTTTGTCTTGGTCAAGTTCCCCAAACTAAGCCTGTTGGTATTTTAACTGGGATTTCCTTTAACTCATAATACAGACAGGCTGCAAAATTTAGTCTTACTAATCAAGAGCAAAGTATGGCTTTCCAGTTATTTTAGTGTGTTGTAAAGTATCTCTCAGTAGAGTCTCAAAGTTTCCTTCATATAGGTCTTTCAAATTGTTTCCCTGTTGATTTTGTGTTTTTTAGATACATGATCATATCAGCTATCAGAAATTATGTATTTTGCCTCTTCTTTTCAAGTGTTCTTATTTCTTTTTCCTGTCTAATTGTGATGACTAGTGGTTCCAGAAAAATA